AAATCATTAAGTATACCATGTAGGGTGTTTGTTCAGGGTTCGAATACCAGGTCGGGCTGAAATGTTATTGAATTTTCTGTCAAGAAATTCTCAGTAGCGGCTAGGAGTAAGCTTTTGCGTCTGATCTTTCTCCGGTCGTGTCGGATTGCTTTGCCATCAGACTATGAAAGTAGTAAAGAGTGCACCCGTGCTTGCGCACACACATCGTGCACTATAATGTTGTCCTGCGCATGTGTCTAGTCCCCGTCAAGACTGGCCGCCGTGACCGAAATTCAGTCTGAAGGACATCACATAATATATAAACGTTATATTATTTCTTAAGTGCGTCATGAGGAAGTAATGAATTATTGTACGAGATAAATATGTGAATATACTTATGCTATCACTCCATTTATTTACTCATAATACCTATTTTTCACTTTTTACTGACAAACAAACGGACCTTGTCACGAATGTCGGCCTTAAGCCAAGGTGATCCTCTTGTTACACATATCACAGATCTAATAGTTTTTTGTATTAATAAGTCACATTGCTCCTGGCTTAAATGGTATACTGTCGCATATTTTATACCATCCAAGTCATGATAAAAGTTCGGAATAATATGTACTATATTTTGTATTAATATACTACTCAGTTGTTCTGTCATTTCCGGTAGGTGGCGCGATGAATTTCATTCTAAATTCAGATTAAAACTTCTTAATAAAATTGATGAACAACTTGACCACAGTGCCACCTATCGGGTCGATTTCGTGATTTTATTTTAGGCACTAACCCAACCTAATATATTATAGTGAATATGAGTCATTTTGGTTATTTTTTAGTTTTGATTTGTTAACAATTTGACTATAGCGCCATCTATAAGACCCTAGTATGGTCCTCACATTGTAGACACAATGAAATTATTAATTGCAATGTGCTTGTTTACCACGTGCTCGACGGTGAAGGAAAAAGTTGTGAGGAAACCTACGAATATTTATTTTCGTGGACAGGTAATGTCCATCACACGCAGTGGAGCAACACGATAGTTTTGCTTCCTCCTGAAGTTTATAACTAACCATCAGAAATGAGTGTATAACCAGCTGTGGGACATATGTCGTACTTAACTGTAACTTTACTTTTATTTCAGTTTTCTTTTATAGAATGACAAACGAGTACACAGTCCACTTAATGGTAAGTGGATACTGTGGCCCATAGACATCATTTATCCTCGATTAAGAATCCAAGAATCCGCAAATACGTTGTCACCCCAGAGGACTAAGATGGAATGCCTTGTTTCCAGTAAAAAAGGGTCTCCGGATCTCTACTCACCATACGAAACACTACAGAATTGAGCTGTTATTTGACGCTGGTACTCTGTGAGAGCGTGGTCCTTCCCCGGTCCGGTTAATTTGATTTTCGGTAAGTTTATAGACAATACTTACTGAAAATCATTTTCTGGTTTCTAATGTTTGGGATAATACGGTAGAACGAAGACGTAACCCAGCGTAATCACATTATTTTAGTCAGGTGCACAAAATATTTTAGAATACATATTTCCATCCGATTACAATGTGGGTGTGAATAGCCTTTTGTTAGGTCAGTGCGCATCACTATCTTCAGCTACATCACCATCTTCATTTGTATCACCCCCTACCAAGAGGGGGGGGGGTTAGTAGGATCACGCGCTGGTTAGGAATATTTAAAGAAACCGTTTGGCGGCGATCACCCAATTCCGAGCAATTCTACCTACGATATCATCCATGTATTCTTTGTCATTATACAATATTGAGTAATTTTACGCTGGTATTCTGTGAGAGAGAGCCGTGGTAGCTCAGGTGGTTAGCGCTCGCTGTAAATTTCACAGTACGCGAGCAAACCGGGTTCGTTCCCCGCCGGCACCAATGAAATTGTTAATTGCAATTTTAAGTGCTGATTTACCACGTGCTCTACGGTGAAGGAAAACATCGTGAGGAAACCTGCATGTCTGAGAAACAAGAAAAAAAATTATTTCGAAGACATGTGAAGTTCGCAAACACGCATTGGGCCAGCGCGGCGGACAATTCCTTGCCCTAAAACCCTCTCAGATATGAGTGGGGGGCCTGTGCCCAGCAGTGGGACGTAATATAGGCTGTAACTTTTATATAATATTGATATGATGAGAAAACAAGTTCCAGTGATCAAGTGATTGAGTACTTTTCCACGGTCTCTGGAATCGCATCCCAAGCACACTATCATTGTCATGTAACAGACGTTATAGTCTAATAGGTCAGTGTCTGACAGTCTCCTAGACATCCTAGTTATATCTTATCTAGAGGTACCTTTGTATTTGCGAGTATAATACACTACATAAAACAACTTAAAGTAGTTTTCAAAAATATTCAGCCGATTTTGACCAAAATAGTCATTAAGGTCAAAATCGGCTCGAAAAAATGCCATCATAATTGTTTTCTTTTTATTATTATAAACTTAGCTAAAGATATATTTATCATGATTAATATACGCTAGTAATATATGTCAATGGATTAATACGATTTCTTTCTACAATATATACAACAATGTTATAATTCGTATAATTTTCTAACGAACCTATTACAATTTAATGTTATAAATGCAATAATCTGTAATAAATATTAGAAAAAAATTGTCTTACCTGTAAATAATTTACTATTTATTAAACCACTATGTAATTATTTTTGCACTCAAAGTTGCCAAAGTGTCATCAGTCAATGCACTAAAAATTGTCAAGTTATTATCAGAAGTCAAAACATTGCTACACTGAATTAAAAAAGGCGGGAAATCACTAAAATTACTAAGTTTTTATCTCTTTATAACACAATATGTTGGAAAAGGTTGTGTCATATAAAATATAATTTACAACTAAGTCACAAACGTGCTGTCTCAATGAGTAAAAATATAACAATGTGAAAACACGTAAACATTTCCGTGTTATGAATGCTATTGCGGTTTGCGGCGCCAGGCATATTCACTCGAACTTGATTCGCCGTTGCGTTCCGTTTATCTCTCGAGGTTATTGAACAATAAAGTCATGCATGCAACGACATCTATCCACGCATTGAAGTATCAAAATATCAAACTGTAGACAATTATGTGCGTAATGTGTTGTGCAGAAATCATTTTTGCATAACGACATTTATTTCCAGTATTTAAAAAAAAAAACAAATTAAATTATACAAGTAATATAATATATTATAGAAACAATACAATGACAAATTCAAGCAATTCAAAACAAAATATAATTTTAAGAAACAATATTGTCCTTTACTTAGATCTACTATTTAACACACAATCAGCTCAAAAAAGGGGTTATAGTCATAGTATCAAATATGCTTAAATAATCATTATTGTTTTGTTTATACATAGTTAAAATCAATTTCAGCAAAAGTATTAATCAATCACTACTTCAAAACTTCAAACATCGAACTAAAAATCTTAAAAGCAGTTTTTTGTGGGTTGGACCATTTTTGCGTAGGAACTTACTTACACTTAAATTCTAGACAATACTTAATTTGCTTAATTTCTATTTAGCAGAATAATAAAAAAATGAATAAATCAAAGTAAGTAATAGAATAAAATGTATTAATAAAATGAACAGAAAACGTAAAGATTAAACAGAGATATAACAGTTAAAAAGTAGAACAACTTCGAATCTTAAACTCAATTAAATATTTTTCCATACCTGCCCTATAGGTAAGTATGACTATGGCACATGTAAAGAATAATATAAAATAAAATACAAAAATTATCTTCTTATTTTTGAAATATTAAAGTATCCAAATCAAAAAGCTAAAAACCTACTTCTAGTTTTAATTAAGTTTTCTATGCAGGATTAACACTCATTTTTATTTTAATAGGTGCCTTTCGTAAAAAAAAGAAGATACCGCGATTTTTCGCGTTATGGTGGGTTGGAAGACTTTATCTCCCCATTTTGTCTTGAGCAATTTCGGTGAAAAAGAAGTGAAAAATTTCAGCGATACGTGATTTTGTCCTTCAAAAATCACGTATCACCAAAATTTTAAGTACAGACTTCCTTACAGAATCACATAGAGATTGTCAACATATACATAGATATTACAATATATAGATTCAATATTTGATATTTAAATGTAATATAGATACGATTTGGTATTAATCCATGCCTAGATTCCATATAGGCTTTTCCAGTCACCTCTTACGATATGTCAGACAAAATTCAAGGCATCCGTTAGAGGACGGTATAATCATGTCAAAGTCAAAGCTTAGACGACTTGAATAATGTGACATTTAACAAAAGTACGGCCCTATGAATATTTGACATAATATTAATATCATAATATCAAATGGGCGGCCAAAGTTTAGGCTTTCTAGTTGAATAAAATTTATGTAGTTTGTGAGACTGGATTGTTAGAAACTTCACCCTCATATTATGTTTAAAAATGTGTCAAGGCATTTGTATAACAAGCAAATTAGGTAATTTATTCTATTGTTGTGTTCACAAATCACCACTTTGTTTTGGTCGGAAAAATTTAAATGTATCTTGAATACAGTCGACAAAAGGGCTGGTTTGCAGTCAGCCCAAACATTAAAATGTTATTTGATTCGTTATAATTTGACTACAGTGCCTTTGATAAAATTTGGCTTTAGTTTTCATCGAAATTAATTAAAATAATAACTTCGATGAAAACTATAGCCATAGATCAACAATTCTTTGGTCTGAAACTGTAGCGTTAGAAGTTTTGAAAATAGAGGTACCTAATTAGCATACACAGAAAACTTTTATTTAGATTTTTTAAATACCCAATGTGCGACAAGGCATTAAGACTTAACCAAAGGGCTTAATTAAACAGTTGATCAAACCATCTTTGACGTCATCAATTATGTCAGTAGATAGAATAATTATAATTATATAGGTTTTAGCAGAAAAAAATGATGGTGAATACGACTAAATAGATAATTAAGGCACCTCGATATACTTAATTGTTCCTTTTGTTAGGTACTACTTACGTTTGAATATAAAATATATTTTAATCACTATCAAAATCGATTTCTCTATTCTGAGCATGGAACATTCTTCCCAAAAACATCTCCATTATGAATCGGTCCTGAATTTCTCTCTCAAAGCGATGCATATATATCTGAGGCATATATTGCTGTAAACGCCATTGGGCTGCAATTTTCGATTCTATGTGGGCATTGGTCTTCAGGTGTTTTTTCATCGCTTGCCATGATGATTCCAAGAGATTGCAAAATCCGCAGTGGAAATTACCGGGGTTAATCTAAAACAGGTTGGGAGCTATCAGTAAAAAAAAGACTGGTAGTTTAGAATAATATTAATTTACTACGTCGTAGAGCAATACTGATCCATTTTCAGTCAATGTTAGTGCATTTTAATTGGACAATTAAAATTTTGTGCTTCCTGTGTATCAATTAAATGTGTTGAGTTGTGATAACTATTATTAATTATGTGGTTGTAATAACAAATCCCATCAGATCATGTAAGTAATAGGGATAAAATTGTGGTTTACAGACTTGCATAGACAAGCTGAATATTATTTTATCGTAACTGTTATTAAAGAGAACGCTACAAAATATTAATTCGGGTAGAATTATCCTTAGGACTCCACTGGTATTCTCTCTCTGTCACAACATCAAGACAGACTTTTTGCATACAATAATAAGTACATAAAATCTTCTACTTATTTTTATGTAACTATGCAGCCTTCTGCAGCCACAATAGAGCCCCAATAATGTTACCTACACTGGGTTATTTTTCAAAGAATAGCCAAATTTTAAACTTAAGTTCAACCACATAAATAACATTATACTTACAGTTAATGTAGGTTTTGAAAATATATGTAAATAAGGTGCCTACTTTTATTTGAAATCATCCCAAATAGAATGTGATATATGCGCAACAACGTTTTTGCCCGCGGTTATTGCAAAATAACCCCTTATATATGTATTGTAAGACTTTCAGGGCATTTTCAGGGCATGGTAAGACTTATAAGTGAAGGGGTACACTCTAATGTGGAGTTGCTTATTGTTCAGATGGCGTTAGGCCCGGTTTACATTTTTAGAAGTGACAAGTGCGAGTGGCAAGTGCAACTGACAAATGACAAGTGCTTAGTGCGAATTTTATTCACACTTTTCACTTGTCACTGCCTGTTCACACGCATTGTTGTTACCATAAAGCGCGCGGGATTAGCGCCGGACCCTGCCTCTCGCTCTCCCCGCCACATCTGACGATGTTGAATAATCTGGTTCAAGTACTAAGCATTAGCAAATTGCCGGCACATGCTTATGTTTTGACTATTTTTGTTAGAAAAAAAGTATTTCGTTGTGTTATTCTTAGTGAAAATTGATAATTATATGATAAAAACAGAGTAATTAGACTTAGAGCGATAGTGTCATTCAAAATTCCGTTCAAATTGGAAGCAATAACGCAATGAGCATAAGCGGCCTATAATTACGTTTGCCCACACGCACACAAGTGACACAAGCAAATGAGTAATGTTTGCAAGTAAATGACGTTTTCCCCAATAAATGGGGAAATTGTAATAGTAGACATAGTCATAGATTTAATATTAAGGTTGCGTTTCGAATAATTTATTATTTGCAAAGAGAGAAATGTAAAATTACTTATATTTCTTAACTAATGTTTTATTAAAATTATTTATATACGTAATATCTTGTGCTTTAATATATATATATTCACAATTCTATTATGTTATTATATTATTCTGTTAGAAGTGATATATTTATATAAGTATTTAGTATTATATATTTCTATAAATATAATATACTTTATTGAACAGGCCTTTTGTATTAAAAAAATAAATATCTGTTAACTAATGTTTTGATTTCTTAAATTTACTCGAACACTACACATTGAATAAAACTATTATTTACGGATTTTATCGCGTTTAATTACTTTAATTTATTTTTATTATTATCCCGACGTTTCGGGTGATTTACAGCACCCATGGTCACTGAGGGGACTGAGAGGTTTGACGTCCCAATGTCATAGTTAGTCCGGCTACCTTCAGTTTTTTTTTAATATTAATTTTTGGTCCGATTTACGCAAAACGAGCTTATAGTATCATGAAGTATTGCAGTGGTATGCTTGGGTTTGGGTTTAATTTTGTTAATTATAGGATCCCAAGCAGATGGTAGCACCCAACCTTCTTCTCTATTGAAATTTGGATGTTTTTTAATTTCAATAGCCTCGCGTATCATCCTTGGTAGGAATCGGTATTCTTTTGCGAGAATTTGTGGTTTATCAAATCTAATGTAATGGTGGGGACGATCTTGAACATGTTCGCAGACTGCAGACTTCCCGGAGTGTCGGCGATTCACATCAGCTATTCCTTCACGCGGGTTTTTATAGATTTCTTTGTTTGACCTATGTAAGAGAGACCACATTCACAATCCAGCTTGTACACACCTGCATCTTGTAGAGGAATATTACATTTCACACTGTGTATAGGAAAAAGACCCATACCAACCGATATCTAAATGGTGAATCTCACCGTAAATTTTGTTTCAGAGAGCACGAGGGATCTGTGACAGAAAACATCTGGCCGCAGAGCTTCAGCACGTCAAGCAAGTATTGCAAGACAAAAAGCTTCGGGTCCCGCGCCTACGTCACATTGAACGAGTGAAGCCGGCCACAGTCGAGCGCGCGCCTGCTCTACTACCATATATCAGAGGAGTCACGGACAAGGTTGGCTACATCTTGAAGCGAGCGTCCATTAAGACATACTACAAGCCGCTGAAGAAGATTGGTCAATTTTTACCATCCATCAAATGTAATATTCCTCTACAAGATGCAGGTGTGTACAAGCTAGATTGTGAATGTGGTCTCTCTTACATAGGTCAAACAAAGAGATCTATAAAAACCCGCGTGAAGGAACATATAGCTGATGTGAAGCACCGACGCTCCAGGAAGTCTGCAGTCTGCGAACATGTTCAAGATCGTCCCCACCATTACATTAGATTTGATAAACCACAAATTCTCGCAAAAGAACACCGATTCCTACCAAGAATGATACGCGAGGCTATTGAAATTAAAAAACATCCAAATTTCAATAGAGTAGATAGTTGGGTGCTACCATCTGCTTGGGATCCTATAATTAACAAAATTAAACCCAAACCCAAGCATACCACTGCAAGACTTCATGATACTATAAGCTCGTTTTGCGTAAATCGGACCAAAAATTAATATTAAAAAAACTGAAGGTAGCCGGACTAACTATGACATTGGGACGTCAAACATCTCAGTCCCTCCCGTGACCATGGGTGCTGTAAAGCACCCGAAACGTCGGGATAATAATAAAAATAAATTAAAGTAATTAAACGCGATAAAATCCGTAAATAATAGTTTTATTCAACTAATGTTTTATTTAAATTATTTATATACGTAATATCTTGTGCTATAATATAATATATTCACAAATCTATTATGTCATTATATTATTCTGTTAGAAGTGATACATTTATATAAGTATATAGTATTATACTCGTATATTTATATAAATATATAATATACTTTATTGAATAGGAGTTTTGTATTAAAACGAAATAAGATTCGGAAGGAGAAAAACTTTTCGAATAAAATATGAAATTAAAAATATTTATTAAATAACTATATACCCTCGTACTTAAACAATTAATAATAATACCTACTTATGCGTGAATATTGTAGGTATTTTTATTTGCCATACAAAAATACAACAATAATAGTCCCGTCCCATATTGGCAGAATGTAATTACAATAATAAGAAAATATGGGGTAAAACATTTTACTATGCTAAGCAACATTTTCATCATATTGGCATCTGTCAAATTTACGATTTATTATTTTGTTTGATGAATATTTTTTACAAAAATATAAGATGCTAGGCAGTATTGACCCGTGAAATGAGATTTTAAATTTTTTTTTTTCATGATTATGTGATGAGGTATGATAACCTTTTACAGCACAGTACGTCATTTTTTTACAAAATTGCGCGAGCTCTTTACACGACAACGTGGACATGACGCGCCGAAAGTTGTATGTAGCCTTAAAAAGCTAACTTGAAACGGTTTCACTTTGCGGTCACACTGCGGTTCTAAGACTAATAATTCTATGGATAAAAATGAGTGGCAGGAGATCTAATATTTGGACTTATTTTAGAGAAACTGACGACCAAAGTAAAGTGAAACGTACTAATGTAATGTTTCTTTGTTTAAAATCTACAGTGCCTCAAACACATAACGCTATACAAGTAGACCCATATATAAAATATACTTTCAACAGTAAAATTATGAAAGACATGGCATTACTCAATTCGTATTTTCTAATACAGTGGATACTGAATGTGGAGGGACACACGGGCAGAGGAAGGCCGAATAAAAGATGGATCGATTGTGTGAAGAGTGATATGAGAATGAAAGGAGTAAGTATGGAAATGACGGCTGATAGAGAGGAATGGAACAAGAAGATTTACTGCGCCGACCCCAGATAATGGGAAATGGTTTAGAGAATGATGATAATACAGTGGATACTGAGTACCATTTTAACGAATGTTCGGTGATTTAGGCGAATATTCGACCGAATACGAATATTCGGCCCATCTCGAGTATAAAGGAGCATGTTGCGCGAATAATAAAATACTCTCGAAACAATCATGCAGCGAGTTGGCTATAGATATCCGGTACTTGATTTTAATAATATTTTTAGTCTAGGAGGCTTGTGAGGGTTAAGCTTGAACCTATTACACTGTTTTTAGATGTCGGAAATGCGTTTTGAATTAATTACGATAATAACAAATTTCACTAAAAAATGCTTATAACTAAACGCAAACATGTCAATTTGTTCTCGTATTATGAAGTAGACGTGAATTACTTGATTTTTTAATTTTGTTTTCAATTTAGGAGGTTTGTCAGGGTTAAGTTTGAACATTTTCCACTGTTTTTGGATTACATTAAATGCCTTTTGAATTAAATACGATAAAAAAAAAATTCACAAAAAATTGCATATAACGAAACGGAAATATGTCAATTTGTTTTTTAACACAGATGATAGGTACACTCATAAAAAAGTTAATCACTCGGAACCAGACAATCCATTTGTGGCTGAAGACAGGACTTATATACAACAAATTGAGTCGCAGTGAAGAGCAGTCAATAGGTTTTTCAGAAAACAAAATTATAACAATTCCCATTACATTATTTCATTTACCAGTTTACCACTACCATAGCAGAGTTTAGGGTAACCTGACTTTATAAATAAGATTGGTCGAATCTGTTCCAAAACCGAAACAGCACGCACCGACTCCACGTAGTCTTGTCTGCCTTACCCCTAGTGTTTTTGTAAAGCCGTAGACGCGGAGGGAGAGCAGCCCCCGCCCGCTGTAGCAAACTGCAGGTACCCGTGTGAGCCTTAGCGGCTGAGGCTGGTCGCCGAGGCTGCGAAGGTGATTGACATGGGTGACTGTAATTTGCTACGCAAGGGCGAAGGGGCTGCACTTCCCGCAGCGCCGAAGCTGTTACAGAAGTAACTTTGTGTCAATATTCCTGTGTAAAAAAGTGAGTATGATTTTACAAAAAAAAAATTATTACTCATAAACAATACATTTCCTCAACGGGGGAAGGGTAGGGGAGGCCTTCCCTAAACCCTCCACCGTACGCGAGTACCGAATGACTATAGTTTAACCCATGCAGTTAACAGCTTGTACAAAGTGGAAGGAGGGAATAGTGCTGTTGGAATACTGTAACTGATTGTTTCGCAGTTTTCGTGTCAGAGAGGCAAAAGCTGTAATAAAAATATGTGAAGAGAACAGGGACGTCATAAATCCTTTAATTAGAGAAAAGATGTGGTGTGAATCTTCTGACAGAGACACATGAGTAATGTAGCGGAAAGTTAAATAACGTAAAATTTTGCAGTGTAAGCAAAATTGGGTGTTCATGAGAAATTAAAAAGGTTTACATAAATCATCTAAATAAAGCAACATTTTTCTTCTGAAATTATTTAAACTGTCATTGAAAATATAAAAATTAGATGGCCTAGATATATCATTATACAGTCTAAACATTCTGGATAATGCTGAATTAAGACCGAGGTCAGTCTTATGAGGTGGGACCACAAACAGCTCGTAGACATTAAAACTACACTCAATCCCGCATTTATTCAAATCCTTCCGTCTCTGTCTATCTCGACATATTTCTGTACCAATGAACCGAGGCACCCAAAATTCAGAACAGGTAAGGATACAACAGGTTGTTTGAGAGAACTACTATTTTTGTTAAAAAAAAAAACTTTGCAGTTCACTAGTACTTCGCTCGCCTTAACACGCTAGACCTGACTGCGTCATGCAACTTGAGGTTTCACGCGATTGTAGGCATTTATTTCACGCAGGTGGCAAGAGTGACAGAGACCTGATATTTCAAGTTACGCTGAGGAATTCACTAGACGGACTCGCCCACGGGCATGTCTGCACACATGCCGGCTGGCCTTCGCTACTATAGGTCTGTGTGGACCGCCGCAGTCGATCTGGCAGATTCACCTGTTGAACGTCCGTGCATCTCATTTTGTCTGCGCGGGCACAGACATGCTTGAACGTGAATGTTAACTGCGCGCTGTCTGTTCACCGACACAAGAGCGACAGCAACCAGTGCAGACGGCCTTTTATTATTATTTAACGAACTTTGGAGATTTTCAATTTGCAATGAATCTTAATGATAATAAAATATTCTGGGAAGTCTATATCTATGCGCAAGTACTGTACAGGTCTCCTGGTTCATTAATTTCTAATTCTTTATGTAAATTGATATGGTTAAATTTATTTATATTTTTATACCATTCTTCGCATCAAATTAATAATAAATAAATAATAAGCATTGCAAGTCTGGGTTGTCCTCTTAATGTGCACGCACAACTAACTACGTAGCCGGTGTAAAACAAACTGAGTCTGTGTAGTGTATTGCGGCGACAGACATGCCCGGACAAACAGCAAGTGGGTATGTCCATCCAGTGAATTCCCCGTTTTACAGTCTCACCTAAACTCATGCACCTAAACTATATAGCAACCATTTTTATATTTTATAAAAGAGGGAGCAAACGAGCATGCGGTTCACCTGGTGTTAAGTGACTACCGTAGCCCATGAACAACCGCAACACCAGGAGAATTGCAGGCTGCCGACCCTTTAGAAAGGAGTAAGCTCTTTTCTTGAAGATCCCCAGGTCGTATCGGTCCGGAACTGGGGGGGGGTTTTTTTTGGTGGTTGGGAGAAAAAAAAAGGATTTTGTTGGGTAAATCGCCGGTGGTAAATTATTCCACAGAAAGGTCGTACGCGGAAGAAAACTCCTAGTAAAACGTACAGTGGTGGACCGCCAAGCATCCAGATTGTGTGGATGGTATCGGGAGGTTTGCCGCGTAGTGCGTTCATGAAATTTGGCGGCTGGGATTAATCCGAACAATTCCTCAGAGCACTCCCTGTGGTATATGCGATAACAATCAATAATAACCATCAACACGGTTTAAGACGTATATGTGGCGTGAGTGCGGGTTCTTACAATAATTTGAGCATAGAAATTGGCAAGGTGTATATCATCACTAAAGATAGAAAAATAACACAAGAAAATAATATGGAAAATATACAAAGAATAGGAAGACTAGGCTAGATAGAGGAGAAAATACTCTCAAAAAAAAAACAATATTCTATTCAAAATGAATACCTTTGGCTTTTATACAGGCCTTTCAGTCTGGCTACGAATCTATGGATTTACGTACTGTTTCCATGGGAAATTTCGCCACTGCTTGCTCCAGAGTTTTTTCAAAGACTCAATGTCGCCGTGTCGTTTAGAGCAAGCCATATCCTCTACAACTGACCATAATTTGTAGTCTAAAGGATCTGGGCTAGATGAGGACCAGTCTTCAGCTGTTATAAAGTCCAGAACGTTGGTTTCAAGCCAGGCTTGGGTAGTTCGTGCCTTGTGACCAGGTGCAGAGTCCTGCTGGAAAGTCCAGGGTACATTTTTAAAGTGTATTGCTGAGAGATTTAGGAGAGGAGGTTTGGCTGAAGTTTTCACTCCTTTTTCACAAAAAGTGTAGCTTTATGACGCCTTAATAAGACACGCTCCACCAAACTATCACTGACGCAGGATGATGACCACGTTGTACCTTTCCGACCACTTGCGCAGCTTCTTTAGAACTATGAGCGTACACTTAATCATTTTGCTTATTGTTGTGTCTTTCAATCGTCAATAATTTTTCATCGGTAAAGAGGATATTTCTGTGCCCTTCACCTGCGTGTCGCGACAGAAGGCGTTTTGATCGATTCACGCTCCGGGTCTTGTTTTATAATACGCGACAGAGTCCTAGCTGGAATCTTCATTTCTCGCGATAAGATTTTTTGCTTCCTAATGGGATTTAGACGAATTCTGGCTTTAACGGCATTAACAGCCTTTGTAGTTCTAATAGCACGCTGCCGCCACGATTTTTTATGGTGTTCGATAGAGGAAGTGTTGTTGTATCTGTTGATAGTACGATATACAAATACACGACTGATACCAAGCTTTTGAAGTGTTTGGAATATGACCGACGGCTCCATACCCACTTTGTGCAAGGCGATCACCGCAATCCTATTTTCTTTAACACCCCATTCCATATTGTAATTTGATAATGAACACGAAAAAATATGTGAAATGGCGCGAAATCGAAAGAACTTATAAAAATAATGAACGAGTTTCAAATTCGAAATAATTAAAAAGTTGAAAAAAGTTTTTATGAAACAGTATTTATGGCCAGACTAGTTATATTATTTAAACTACCTGTAACAGTAGGCTGACTAACTTTTTATTTTAAAGTGATAGTACATACTTCACTTCATGGTGGACCTAACTGATAATAAAGTCAGCGGGTATTTTTTATCAGTGCCAAGCGTTATAAAACTAAGGCAAATACCTATAAGTGCAATGAAGGACATATTCAGCGACGGACTTTGATTGATAAACTGTAGTGATAACAATGATGATGAATAATATCTTAGTACATACCTCTCTTATAAATTCGGTGTCATCTTCAATAACTACATGGGACTCCGAAAGTATGGTTACATGCTGAGGATTATCCTTGTGTGACTCATAATTACTAAAATCAAAATTACTTTTACAGCCCAAACATCTAAGTCTGCTTCCATATTTAACAAGTAAAAAAAAACTGAATAAATTGATACATATTTTCTCATTAAATACGACATCCGTCTGAAGCCCATTAATTGTGATAGCACTTTGGAAAAATGATTTCATTGGTTTTTTTAATGGAATGGAGTCTTTTTCGGGTGGCTTTTGTATCGGCTCTCTTTTAGTAATTTCTAAATCATGTTCATTATTCTTATTATGAGCTAGTCCCGCAATGTGCTCCTTTATGTTCTTAAGAGATGACGGTATGTCGGTATTGCACTTGTTACAATGTATTTTATTTTTGCCAGGTATATATTTCATATCATGTTCTTTAATCAAATTATCCCGATCTTCTATATCAGATGCAGATGATGACTCTTTATCTTTTGTTACTTCTTTAAGTTCCTTCTTTTGCTTTTTTTCTGGAGTTTTTTTCAATAATACAGGTGTTGTATATAAACAAGTATTTTTGCTAGTACTTTCATCGCCTACTTTCGAAGCCTCTAAACCAGATTTAAGTTGTATAGACTTAAGAATATTTTTCTGTCCATCCTTTCTTGTGTGTTCTTCTATATGCTTTTCAATGAATTGCATATCAAACTCTAATCCTTTTGAGCATTTTTTGCAAACTACAGTTTTATATTCAAAGTTAATATTTATTCCCTCTTTTTGAAATTTCTCAACAGAATCTACAAGATTTTCATTGCTATCCATATTTTGTTTAGTAATTTTTTCGACATCATCATTTATATTTTTAGATATTTCTTTTGACTTTTTATCTGAATTAAGTTTTGTAATACGTTCCTTGTGCAACTTAAGTATGGTTTGATGATGAAGATCATGTATGTGAGCATTAATAGTAAATGCATCTATAATCCAATTACAAAGAATACACCATGTCCGTCCCTTTTCGTCGTTTGTTATATAATTTTTTGCATTTAATATTTCACAAATCTTTGTATCACTTATTGGATCAGAATTTTCTTCGGTTGATTCAGGATTATTATTATTATTTGGGTTATTATTATTATTAATATTCTTTAGCCTGCCTTTGTCTTCTGTTTTTAAAACATTTTCTGAAACTTTAATTTCTTCTAGAACTACTTCCTTATTTTGTTGTTGAATTTTAGATTTTTTATCTGTAATATCTGTTTTCTCAATGACTTTTGTTGTTTTAATTTCGGCTGACTCATAATTTTTATTGTAAAGATTTAAGTGTTCAGTCTTATCAAAATGAAAATCATTTGTATTCCAAGCAAAGACCGCGTTACACGTCAAACACTGAAATGAGTTTTCATCAATCTGAAAAATAAAAGTGAATAATTAGACATGATAAACACAATGCATATAAATAAAGTGGATGACTAAGTTCTGGGTGAAACTACATTTATGTACATATAATTATATTAATGATTAGCTGAGCCCGCGACTTCGCATATATTTTTCTGTAAAGCTAAGTTAATTTAGTTTGTAGGCATAAGTCTCGTACTAAAATACTCTGTATATATATATATATATATATATATATATATATATTGAAAAATTGTAATTTCATAAATAAAAGCGGTATGCATAAATACAAATTGAAAATATAAAGGAAGAAAAAGGTGACCAATTACTCTTATTTATAAAAACGGAGACTTTTGCAGTTTAAACTTCAATGATAAGAAGGGAACGATAATTCATTCGGCGTGTTACTACACGCCGAATGAATTATCGTAGGCGCAGATGTATCTATCACCGTTTCTTCGCAAATCTAATGGCTTTAGATAAATGGCGACAGAACCATATTAATTACGCCAAGTATAAAATACCCATACTGGTGACGGGCATCAACGTCGAAGGTGTGAAAAGATGTAGTGCCTGTCAAGTGTGACAGTTATAGCAAATCCTTCCTAGAGCGGGAGAGGCTCAATCCTGCTGTAGACTTTTAAGGGCTTGTGAAGAAGAAGTAAAAGATAATCCTTTTCACAATTTTTGAGTCACAAAAATGCGACATGTCTTAAGTCTTGCATGCCTTAAGCGTTGTTAATAATTGTTATTGCAAAGCAAATATCACTATTAACTATAATATATTATGTGAAATATCTGCGCCTACTGTATTCTTTTGGGAAACAGCTAATTTAAAATAAGCAGGTAACAGTTGTAAAGTTCCAGAGGATATTTATTGTGTCAAAATATAAATTTAAAAAAATTGAGTTGTATGTATTATAGTACGGCCAACAAACAGCGATACGAAAGGTCATTTACCTTAAAAACGACTGTGGAGTGGACAATCTATTATCTATCTCTTCCCATCTTGTGTACTTGTCGTAATGTCTCGTTTTCCCGACAAAAACAAGTCAAGGTCAAGACGGGTTCGCCAACATTCGAGAGGCCATTTTAGCAATTGTTGTTTATTTAATTATTGTTATTTTGTTTTGTTGATAATTGTTTTTTTATTAAGAGTGGTTAATTATGGAGCCACAACCAAGTACGCCGACAGATAAATCAACAGATTTTACTTCTCAGAAAAGAAACGTCCAAAGGTATGTATAGGAATAGTTGTTTAGCAGTTTTAATTAAAACTTATTGGTTCGGAGTGTACTTTAAAGTTATTTAAAAACAGCAAATGTAATAATAAAACTTTTCTTAATTTATTAAAGATGCATGTAAGTAAAGTATGTACATAAGTTTAATAAAATTTTTAATTTTAGGGTACTAGTTTTACTGTTAATGAAAAAAATATGGTTATTAATACCTACAAATATGTTAAAGAAATTTGGCCTAATGATAAATATCCATACAGCAAAGAGATGGCGCAAAAAGCATTTATTTAATTACAATCAACATTATACTTATTCAATTATAATAATTCAAATTATAACTAAATTTATAAATGTCTATTTTTCAGTTTGCTAGACATTTTTTTTAAATATATTGTCTATTTAAATATATGTATAATCTAACTATCATAAAGTTAAGTACCCCTGCTATTTCTAATAACCTTGCATTGGTTTTGTTTACATTTGGTATCGCTTCTCGTTGGCCGTAGTACATTCGGTTTTGTAATGGAACATCTGCATGTTTTTTGTCTATGATTGTAGATGGCGTGGCATTTAAATAAAAAATTATTTTTTTCAATTGTGGTATTATGATATTATTACCTATTTTTTCAGTTGTACAACAAATAATTTTAGTTACTTGACTACTGAATTGTTGTTTACGTTCAAGTTTAAACTTTAATTAGAATTCTCGTATTTTTAGCGTCGCTCCGCATTGCATGAATGTCGAAGCAACACTAAACGACACTAAAGTAAGGTGTACGGATTGCAGTACAGTTCAGTTGAACATAGTCAGTGTTCGAAATGCGAAATCTAGTGCGTAGTACATATGAATATATCGATGAAATAAATAACTAAATCTGGATCGAACTAAATTGATGCGTATATCAATGATAATTATATTAAAAACTAATTAGCTAAAATGTTTTTTATACAATTTACAGCTTTAGCTAATTCTTAATTAATAATGGATTTTCGCAAAGTAACGTCTCATTCTATTTATTAAGTTTAGGTTTGTTTGTCTGTTGCCGTGTAGTGGCGGTTGAGAATATCCACTACACAGGGAGGCAGGGAGACAGGCAGGAGATGGGCAGCAGCATCTTCCTGATAACAATTGTGATATAATAAAAAACTGCGGTTGCCAACCCGCTCGCCAAGCGTGGCAACTATGGCAATTATCCCCCCATGAGTAACGACGCAAACAGACGGCCACCAGTCCCCGGCGGCCCCGCTATTCCTGGCTACGGTGGCGACCATGGTAACGGCGGGGCAGAGGGTGCTAAGAATCTCCGGTGAAGGTTCGGTTGCCACCTACGACGACTCGACCTGGCAACATATAACGCACGCACCCTGAGGACTGACGAGAAGTTACTGGAGCCGGAAGAAGAGGTAGACAAGTTGAGCTGGCATATTATTGGATTATCCGAGGTCCGAAGAGAGGGGGAGGACACGGCAATCCTTGAGTCCGGCAACTTGTTCTATCACTGGGACGGCAACCATCTGTCCCAAGGAGGTGTCGGATTTATCGTCAACAACGTTGTAAAGATTGGGAGTTTGTCGACGAGGGTCGCGTACCTGATACTCAGAATCACCAAACGGTATTCGCTGAAGGTCATACAGGTTTACGCACCAACCTCGGCACATCCCGATGAGGAGGTGGAGGAAATGTATGAGGATATTTCCAGAGTCATGCATTCCTCCAAAACCCACTACAAGGTGTTGATGGGGGACTTCAACGCAAAACTAGGCACAAGAGAAAGCGGTGAGCTGAAGGTAGGGAAATTTGGAGTAGGGCAACGGAACCGAAGGGGCCAGCAGCTGGCCGACTTTATGGAGAAAGAAGGATTCTTTATGATGAACTCTTTCTTCCAGAAGCGGCCCCACAGGAAGTGTACCTGGTCGAGCCCCGACGGTTGACAAAAAATGAGATTGACTTCATAATGATGACCAGACGCCAACTGTTCAGTCATGTCTCTGTGATCGCAAGGGTGAAAACTGGCAGCGATCACCGAATGGTTGGAGGCACACTGAACCTAAACGTTAAGTTGGAGAGGTCTCGTCTAATGAAGTCAACGCTCCGTCCCCCTCGTACTCTAATCCAGAATCCCGCTCAAAACTTTCAGGCTCGAGTTACGTAACCGCTTTCAGTGCCTAGAAGATTGCAATGCAGTGGACGATATGAACGACAAGCTCGTGGAAACTGTCCATGCGGTCGGAGCTAAGTTCTGCAAGACCCGCCGCAGAAGAACACAAAAACTCTCCGATCATACTCTTAATCTCATGGCTGTTAGACGGGAGATGAGGCTGCAATCCTCAACAGATTTGACAGCATACAGGCAACTGAACAGACAGATCTCCAAATGCATGCGGCGAGACTTACGCATCTTTAATACTTCTCGTATTAAAGAAGCGATCGAGCGGAACCAAGGCTGCAATCCTCAACAGATTTGACAGCATACAGGCAACTGAACAGACAGATCTCCAAATGCATGCGGCGAGACTTACGCATCTTTAATACTTCTCGTATTAAAGAAGCGATCGAGCGGAACCAGGGCTCCAAAGTCTTTGACAGAGATCTGTCTGCCAGAAAGAGCCAACTGTCAAAGCTGAAGACTGAGTGTGGCAGCATCGTTTCCGGGACACCTGAGATTCTGAGTGAGATTGAGAGGTTCTATGAGCAGCTGTACACATCATCGTTGGAGCCACACGCAAGTGTGAGTAACGATCCAAGAGCAAGTCTTATCCGACACTATTCCGATGATATCCCGGACGTCAGTATGAGCGAGATTAGAATGGCTCTCCACCACCTTAAAAACGGCAAGGCCCCGGGCGAGGACGGAATTACAACGGAGCTTCTGAAAGCGGGTGGAACACCGGTACTTGAAGTCCTTGAGAAGCTCTTCAATTCCGTCCTCCATGGTGGCACTACTCCGGAGGCGTGGAGCAGAAGCGCGGTGGTCTTGTTCTTTAAGAAAGGCGACAACGCTCTTTAGAAGAACTACAGACCGATTTCCCTTCTGAGCCGCGTCTACGTGCTGTTTTCGAGAGTCATTACGAATCGTCTCGCACGCAGATTCGACGACTTCCAGCCTCCCGAACAAGCCGGTTTCCGAAAAGGCTTCAGTACCATAGACCACATACATACCCTGCGGCAGATTGTACAGAAGACCGAAGAGTACAATCTGCCACTTTGCCTGGCATATGTGGACTATGAGAAAGCCTTTGATTCCGTCGAAATTTGGGCGGTGCTACAGTCCCTTCAGCGGTGCCAAGTTGACTGTCGGTATATCGAAGTGCTGAAGTGTTTGTACAGTATGGCTACGATGGCTATCCGAGTACAGAACCAGAGCTATTCAACCTACCAACTGCAGAGAGGTGTAAGACAGGGTGATGTTATATCCCCGAAACTCTTCACCGTTGCGTTGGAAGACGTTTTCAAGCTACTGGACTGGAAAGGATACGGTATTAACATCAATGGCGAGTACATCACTCACCTTCGATTTGCCGACGATATAGTCCTTATGGCAGAATCGCTGGAGGACCTTAGCACTATGCTCAATGACCTCAATGGTGTCTCCCAACGGGTAGGTCTTAAGATGAACATGGACAAAAAAAAAGATCATGTTTAATGTCTATGTCACACCTATGCCGGTAGTTGTTGGGAGCACTATGCTCGAAGTTGTTGACGAGTACGTTTACCTGGGACAAATAGTCCGACTAAGTAAGTCCAACTTCGACCTATAGGTCAATCGACGGATTCAACTCGGCTGGGCAGCGTTCGGGAAATTACGACACATCTTCTCGTCAGGTATACCTCAATCTCTGAAAACTAAAATGTATAACCAGTGCGTGTTGCCAGTGATGACTTACGGATCTGAGACATGGTCCTTCACTGCTGGCCGTATGAGGACGCTCATGGTCGCTCAGCGAGCTATGGAGAGGGCTATGCTCGGAGTTTCTCTGCGTTATAGACTCAGAAATGAGAATATCCGCAGTAAAACCAGAGTGACCGATATAGCCCAACGGATTAGTAAGCTGAAGTGGCAATGGGCCGGCCATATAGCTCGAAGAACCGATAACCGATGGGGAAGAAAGTTTCTCGAGTGGCAGCCTCGTACCGGTAGGCGTAGTGTAGGGCGACCCGCCACTAGATGGAGTGACGACCTGGTAAGACATGCAGGAAGTCGATGGATGCAGGTGGCTCAGGACCGTGCTTTGTGGCGTTACTTGGGGGAGGCCTATGTTCAGCAGTGGACTTGTGAAGGGCTGTAATGACGATGATGATGATGAGGTCTGTCTGACTCTGACATTTGAACAAAAATTTCATAAACGATATTTTTAGAATAAAAAATATAAAATTCTAATAAAAAAGAAAACTTTTTTGGGAATATAAATGAAAGTCAGAAATTTCAAAGTAATTTAGGTATGCGTATAAAAAGCAACGTTCAAATTAAATGTTTCAGTTCAGTTCACTGATTTTTTTATTTGGGAACTTGCTGGACGTTCAAAAAACAAAGTAAAATACGAATTAGTAATTAAACTAAATAAATCACATCATTTTGTATTCGAGGAGAGATCAATCTTATATCACCTACTCTTCAAAATAAAAATCAAAAAATCCTTTTTTGGATTATTTTTTATTATTTATTACGTACATTATTATTACATTAAATTTATATAACGGAAAGAGTGCCGTGGTACCTAGCTCAAGAATTACTTACTGAGAGTGTCCCTGAAAAGTGCCTGCATAGCACTATTAAAATTTGATTTACCCTTACGCGGACAACATTGAAACCAATCAGAAACTTTCCATCTTTCACTAAACTCAATATTACCGAGAGCAGAGAATCTTAAAACCGCGTTTCAGAAAATAACGTCATTTGCACAGTGCCATCTATCGATGACATGTGTTTAAATATATATTATTATTATTATTCTACGTCATTTTATTACCATTTTTTAGATTACATTGAAATGCATTTAATGTTTTACCACCACCTTGAAACAAATTCATACCTACACTTCAAAAAAATACCAATAACTTAATAGAATGAACAGATTTCAATAAAACAGACCAAAACGAACATACGCTTTATAATTTTTTAATGTTTCACAAACAAACACACAGACAGACAATTCAAAATAGTCTCTATATAAAAAAATCTATCATTTTTTCACAAGGATTTGCAATGTACAGCACAGACGCGCTATATGTGTACAAAAGATAAATTATATATTTTAAAATCCTATAACATTTATATAGTACTACTTGTTCATTCTAAGAATGCCGTTACCTCCCGCCGCGCTCCCCCACTCCACACCTCAAGTGTCGCCCTGTTGGGACCGATAGCAGCGCCTTCCTAATGTTTTACGTATTTGATATATTTTAAATGTAAAATAAAACTAAAAATTTTTTAATTATAATATTTTATATTTGTATTGGACACGTACCTATTCACTGTTATTATTTCACTTTACTCAATAAATTATATTATAATACGCATTTTATCTACTTGTTTTCTCTCAATATCTGTGTACAGGATAACAAACTACTTACTTATCAATTCGACAAAAAATAGTCCTCATGTTTATGTGATATCATAGATAAATATGATAAATTATTTGTCTACGGTACCGTCAGCTGTGATATCATAACGGTCGACGACGGCAAACTTGAAATGAACGCGTAGTAGCTTATAATGGAAATTTGACTCTTAGTGGCGGTGTAAGGATATCCACTACCCCATATCTCGTATCTCGTAGATATGACAGAGGCGACAGACTAAAACAAATCAAGAGATGGGCAGCAGCCTCTTCATAATAACGACATAATAAACTGCGACGACTAATATTGAACAACTGCCCTTGCCGCTTGCCAGACGTGGCAACTATGGAAAATATCCCCCGTATTTAGCCAATCTATCGAGAGGCCTATGTTCGGTAGTAGACTTTAATATGCTGTAAAGGTACGACAATAAAGTTTTTAGTCGAGTAAAACAATTCAATGAGGAGAGGCAGCCTAACTGGCGTTCTAATATCCGGCGGCGTAATATCCAGAAGTGGACAGTTTACGAACTGATGATGACGGAGATGACTATGATATAACTTTTATTAGATGTTAATCACAGAAAATGTTGTGTACTAAAAATATAGAGCTCGTTTACAGCTGAATAAATGTCTATTTATACTTACTTTCCGGTAAATGTTTTTATTTGAGTCGAATTCAACTTTACTTTGAATTAATTTAATTATATGAACAGATTCATTTTTATGAATGTTTTCATCTTCAAATTCTGTATTACAAATAACACAAGTGTCATCAATGAATCCATTCCATGCTTTGTCGTTTATAAGGACGTTCGTGAGAGCAACGACAACATTCCCTTGTCTTTTCATCAGTTTGGTGTGTTTATTTTCAATATGTTTTAGCTCAACTACATGTAATCGAACTCTTGCTGATGTAGAAAGTAAAACGTTGCAAACTTCGCAGAAGTACCACTTTTTTATCTAAATAAAAGAAAAATTAAATTTATTAATAATTACCAATAATCAATACACCAAAAAATCAGTAAATAGGTATTAAATGGGACCATGAACGACCACAGCCAGTTAATATTTTTGAAATTATTGGGTCCTTACACATGAAATTAGCGTTTTGTCGTACTGACCACTTTGTTCTGACATATATCTCCTCTTTGGTTAAGAATTCCATATTTAAATTGATAAATTCATTTAGCTGGTACATTTGAGTTTTGAAAACAGTCATTCATTTGTTTTATCCTCATTATTTTTTTCTTAGGTGTCGCTTATTACCGCACAATGGAAAACATGAAATATCGGTATATTTACGAGTACGAGTTCTACCGTGGCACCAGCGCTGCAGAAACAGCTCGAAGGATTAATGATGTGTACGGCGCTGGTGTCGCAAAAGAAAGCACGGTACGATTTTAATTTCAACTTTTTCGTTCTGGAAATTTCGATCGTCAGAACCAAACCAAAGTGGAAAATGAAGAATTAAAGGCTATTGTGGAATCAGATCCATCACAAAGCACTTCAGAGATAGCTGCAGGCTTCGGGGTAAGTGATAAAACTGTATTAATCCACTTGAAGCAAATCGGGAAAGTAAAAAAACTTGAACGGTAGGTGAATCGAACTTCAAACACGTGTCGACTGCTGTGTTACTTTGCTCAACCGACATAAATATGAAGGGATTTTAAATCGAATCATTACTTGTGATAAAAAGTGGATACTGTACGATAATCGGAATTGCTCGTCACAATGGCTAAACCCTGGAGACCCAGCCAAATTCTGCCCTAAACGAAAATTGACCCAGAAAAATTTACTTATGAGTTTGGTGGACTAGCGCCAGTGTCGTTCTCTACAGCTTTCTAAAATCTGGCCAAACGTTTACGGCAGATATATATTGTCAGCAACTGCAAACCATGAAGGTAGAACTAGCCGCTAAACGACCGAGATTGGTCAATCGCTCTAGGCCACTGCTGCTTCACGACAACGCAAGACCACACACTGCACAACAAACAACCACTAAGTTAGATGAGCTACAATTGGAATGTCTCCGACATCCACCGTACTCCCCGGACCTTGCTCCAACAGATTACCATTTTTTCCGGAATTTGGACAACTTCAATAAAAATATTCAACTGCGATGCGGCAGTCCAAACCGCCTTCAAAGAGTTTATTGATTCTCGTCCCCATGGTTTTTTTAGTCAAAGGATCAATTAACTACCTATGAGATGGCAAAAGTGCATAGATAACGGTGCATACTTTGATGAATTAAATACATTTTACAAAAAAAAATTGACTTTATATTTCTCCCGTAAAAAACGCCAATTTCATATGTTAGGACCTATTATTAATAATGTTGATGGTTCCGTGAAACAATGGCGAAGCAATGACTTGCGGCGCTGAGGGGCGCGGGTTCGAATCCCGCATGGTAGAAATATTTGTAGGTCTACAAATAATTGATCCGGCTCTGGATGTTATCTTTGTGAAATTTATATATAAACTGTCTCTATGCTAAAGTAGTAAATCCAAATATAAGCGTAACGTTTTTAAAGACAAAGTGAAAATATAACGTGTACTTGCAAAACCGGTAGTATGTGAGAATATCCACTACCCTATATCGTGCCATAGGTGTCATAAGAAGCGACAGAGGGAACCTGGAACAGGAGATGAGCAGCAGCATGTTCTTGATAACAAATCTAACAAAAACTACATACAAAAATTGTAGCAGCAAATTCGCTCGCCAAGCGTGGCAACTATGGCAAGATTCCCGTATGAGGCAATTTATGGAGGAGGCCTATGTTCTACAGTGGACTTTTATAGACTGAAAAAACAGTCGTGTTTATCGAAATTACCCTCGACGTAACCCTCGCTTTACTTTACTTATGCTTTGAAACCTTATTGTTCGTATATGGCTGTATGTATATATGGGGACACCACCAGTGGCCAAAGCTCCATATATAGCAGCATGTTTCAGACACCAATAGCTTGATGAATGTTTCGGCTGTAGTTCGGTGCGTATTCGTCACTAAAGACGCGGTAACAGTGATGCCACGTCAGCCCCGGAGTTGATTCGGTCTAGTTTGTCGAACAAGGTACAATTACATGATTGTTTAAGTAGTCTGCAATTAACCAGGAATAATGCAAGTGATTAGCGCGTCTTGTGGTGTGTTGTAAAGGCAACCAGTAGAGCACAAAGTACTTGAAGGGACAGGGTGCGTCCTCTAATGCTGCGACGAAGCTTGTCAAACTAGGCTGGCTTGTAGGAGCTAAAAATTACAGACACTGTTTGCTCAGGAGAAAGTTGAGGACCCTTTCGTACTTTTGAATAAAACTTAATGTGTTTTTAATATATTTTGAACAGAAATATTATAATTACAATTAGAAAAGGATAACTAAATGGGCTGTAATGATGATATATAAAAGGGAATACCTGAACTGACAAAGGTCATACAACACCTGAAAACTTATCAATTTTAAACGCATGTAAATGTATAAATTTACATACATACATACATACATAAACACTCACGCCTGTCACCCAGAGGGGTAGGCAGAGACTACGGACTTCCATTTGGCACGATCCTGACATACCTCTTTCGCCTCCTTTACATCCATATATCTACGCATACATGCTCGTCGGTTAAGGATACTTTTAACGTGACCCATTTTCAAAATCGCTAATTTGGTCGATAAACTTTCTTCTAGGGCGTCTCTTCCCGACTCTGCCATTCACATCCGCCATATAAATTTGCTTTGTCACTCTTTCTTCATTCATTCTTTCTACATCACCAAACCACCGAAGATTCCTTTCTTAATCCTGGTCACAACATCATCTTGCATACCACATTTATCTCTTATCACGCAATTTCTCACCCTGTCATTCAGATTCAACCCTAGCATACTCCTTAAAGAACCGCATTTCTACAGCATTTATTCTGCTTTCGTGCTTCTTCTGCCACACCCAGCTTTCACTACCATACATTTAAGTAGGGACTAACACAGCATTATGAATTACCATACGTGCCTTTTTTGACACATTCTGATTCTTTATAATCGAGTGTAGTGCCCCATATTCCCTGCATTTACTCGTCGTTCTATATCCTTATCATATCTACCATCCCTGCTAAATACACATCCCAAATACACGAACTGCTTTGTGATTAGGGGTGTTACTTGAAGGACCATCCACTTGCTCAATTAACTCTTCTTCTATTCTTATTTCACATACCGTTTTGCTTTCTTCTCTTTCAAAAACCATCCACTTTCGTCTTACTTGCGTTCACTTTCATTTACCTTTCTTTTCTTTTTTTTAATAAATTTACAGGTTCAGTATATTCATCGTTCCGGTAATTGTAGAGTGGATATAGTTACTTATTCTCTAAATCGTTCACAACAGTATATTTTTATTTGAGTAACTGATTTTGGTCCGACCCGCGCGTGAAATGTGACGCAATGAAAATCGACCTATATATGTAATTTTTATAGTGTACGGGTGATAAACGAGCTCACAGTCCACCTGATAGTAAGTGGATGCTGTGGTTCATGGACATCTACATTTATCCTCGATTAATAATCATAATACAGAAGCGTTATCCCCCCTGAAGACAAGATGAAATGTCTAGTTTCCAGTAAAACGGGTCTCCGGTTCTCTTCTACACTCACCATACGAGACACAGCAGCATTAAGCTGCTATTTTACGCTGGTATTCAGTGAGATCGTGGTCCTTACCCCGTCGAGCCGACCCATCCGTGCTGCAACCATAATATAGCTGCAGCGTGGATTTACCGTGTATAATAATAATATTGTTCTCCAAACCGAATATCGGTCATGGCAGCCAGCCTAGCTAGAACGGAGACTAGCCATCGGCGCAGGGCAGGATTATATTGCCGAAGTGTATGCGCAAGCACAGATGCACTCTCTATTCATTACTCTCATGGTCCTGTGGGACCTTCGATCAACAATACTGTTGATCGAAGTATGGGACGGTGAACCCACACAACCGGAGAGAGATCAGGCGCAGGACCAATGGCTTTACGTGCTTTCCGAGGCACGGGAGTGACACCGCCAACTTCCTGACTCCAGGCAGCTACTGAGAATTTCTTAATGTAAACACTTAATAACTGATATTTTTGGCCTGACCCGGGACCTCGTGATTAGTAGTCGTACTACTACAACCACTATACCAACGAGGCAGTCAACCATGTATAATATATGCACGGAAGATCTCACGTTTCTCTCTTTTCTTCCTCTTTCTATCTCTATATCCTTTCTACCTTACTACCTCTATACCCTATATACCTTACCTTCCTCACACAGTCTTCTGTCTTTCCTTCAAAATACTCTGTAAGAGAAAACTTCATTGTATGCTCTGGCTTCGTTATGTGTGCTATACTTTCATTCTCACTATCAAATTTGCACTCGCATACTAGACAAAAATAGTCCAAATGGCTGGTCAGCACACCACTTTTGTTGAGCTTTGAATTCATGTTAGTTTACCTGCAAAAAAAATATTAAGTAATAAATAAAAAATAATAAATAAATAAATAATAAAAAAATTAAAAAAAAATGTGTGCAGTTCACATGCAGATGAGATGAAAACTTAAAATTAAATGAAATATGGAACAAAAATGGTTTATTTAATTTGAGCAAATAATTGTTACAATCCTTATTTTTAAACATGTACAGACTAAATTTTAGTGTATTAAATTAAAAAAAATTCTTTCGATTAAAATTGCTTTGTAATAACGACAACTTAAAAAGTGTGTTCGAACAATGTATTTAATTTTAAGCATTACTGGAGCGAAAATAAAGATTTTAGATTTTTTGATTTTTGACATCTACTTCAATCTATCGTTAGTCATATTTTAATTTCATCTAACGAAAATTGATTGACTCTCAAGGTGGTCCGTGAAATATACATTATAGTTCGTGCCTAATCGATTGAGAAAAACGGACATTGACCTTTCGGTCGTTTAACCAGTGGTTACAAACCTTCAATATATAGGCACATTTTATATGTAGTACTTTATTTATAATTATGATTAATTAAATAATGATGATATTAAGAATGAAGATAGCAAAACATAAAAGTTTTACACTACATAATAGTTTAACAAAGTGAACTTTAAGCAGACAGCTGCTTAAAAATAAAACGTGACATCTACCTAGGACTAAGTATTCCCCTGAAAGATGTTTTGCTTTAACTTTACATTATTATTCACCGAAAGCTTAACAATATGTGCGAAATATCAAAAGTTTTGAAATTGGTCTGCCTTCATCACATACTATAACGAAGTGGTACAGTACAATTTATGACCGACTTGGCTACACAAAAAAAAGCGTTAATTTTAAAACTTAGACTAGAGAGTAACCCTGACAAGAAATTATATTGTATATTAGTGATAGATGAAATGAAAATAAAACAATTGACGGAGTACCTATGCAAGTTCTAAAAGACATTTTGGTTATATACATAATGCCTAGCCAATACTACGAGGGCGGCACTGAAAATTTCGGGAATTAAGGAAGTGACACAACATTACTATTTAAAAATGTATTTATTGCTTTTCGAAGTATTCTCCGCGAAATTTGACACATTTTTTCCATACGATGGAACCAATAATTGAAACAACCATTCCATACGGAAGTTGAGGTCTCCAAAATGGCCGTTTTGTAGGCGTCCACAGCTTTTTCAGGTGATGAAAATCTCTGTCCACGCAATTTATTCTTTATTTTAGGGAAAGTATAGAAATCATTAGGGCTTAGGTCGGGGCTGTACGGCGGATGGTCTAATAATTCTATGTTTTCTTACTCTAAAAACTCTTTTGTTCTGTGTGCGGTGTGAGACCTCGCATTGTCGTGATGGAGGATGATGCGGCGGTTGCAGTTCTCTTTATGGAGTTCAGAAACGACCTGTGGCAAACAAATGCTAGCGTACCATTCTGCATTAACCGTTCTTCGTCCCTCAAGAGGAATAGTCGTAACATGGCCGGTTTTGGAGACAAACGTGGCCACCATTTTTTTTTTTGCAACACCCCGTGAACGAACAATTTTTGTTGGCTTTGACTCATTTTCGAACACCCAAACTCGTGACCGATTTTTTGTTTCGGGTTCGTACGCGTATATCCAGGATTCGTCACCTGATACGATGTTGTATACAGCATTTGAGGATCCTGCGTGGAATCTTTCGAGAGTTCTGACGCACCAAGTAACGCGAGCCGCTATTTGCTCTTCACAGAGCGAATGCGGTATCCATCGGAAAAACAACTTTTTTACACCAAATTATTCATGCAAGATTATTTGTATTTGACTCATGCCAATGTCTAAAGTTGCCTGAATTTCGCGGTATGTCACATGTCGATCTTCCTCAATCAGCTAACGCACAGCATCAATGTTTTCTTGGGTGACTGCAGTTTTTGGACGATCTTGACATAGATCGCCACTGAGCTTGACACGTCCACGTTGAAATTCAGCAAACCAGCGATAAATTGTGGTTTTGGATGGGGCTTCATCACCAAATGCAGAAATCATCCGGTCAACACACTGTTTTTGTGTTAAACCACTTCGAAAGTCATAATAAATCATCGCTCTTGAATTTTCTCGAGTCAATTCCATTTTCTCAACGACTAAACAAGTTTGACAAAACCTTATGACAAGACCGAGAATCTTTTTTTAAATAAATGGTATGCGATTTTTAAAACCAAGGAGTTTTCAATTAAAAAGATTTTAATATGACAGGAACAGTGGAAATATTCCATTCCCAATACTTTTAGTGCAGCCTAGTAGCATGGTATTCTGCTTAATTATCATGTCATCCATTACCAAGGTACAATAAAAAAAATTATCAGGGTTACTCTCCGCTCTCAATTTTAATGCCGTCAGCGCTTCTTGAGTAAACCCTGGTCGGCGATCGATGGTAGTATGTGAAAACATGTTCCAAAAGTTTTATGTGCATAGCGATAGGCTTTTGGTGAGTAATAGTTAAGTGTTAGGGCATAGTATTTCTTGCAAACTTGTGAAGCCTGTTTATGCTATTGTTTTTTATGTCAAGGCATTTTTTCATTTTAATTTTCCTTGGCCTAATTTAGCACGTACATTAAAATTTCGTAGGTTAAAATTTGGCTCGTACTCGCAGTGGGAGGTTGGTACTGCAGTGTCAGATTTATGGTTTCTATAAGCTACAATCCAAGTGTACCGCCTAAGAGGATCTCTTGGAAATCTGTAATAACAAACCAATAATAGAAAAATTTACTACTTTTTGTAATACTTTATTATAAAATCTAAATAAAAACTACAACCCCGCATGGTTAATTAACTTATCGATAGCTAAAGTTGTGGCGTTCATCACTATAGTGCAATACTTTCGGTTGCAGTGATACCAGTTTATTTTTATAAAAATTGCACACTTTTGCTGCGAGGTAGCAAGTTTCGATTTGACTTATTTGGCCTGTATTTTGTATAATATTTTAATAAATATTAGGTTTCGATTATATTTAATTATATAATATTCAGTATCGTGTTAAAATTGAGCTGAATATATAAATCATTTAACGAAATCCACTACACATCTATATGTAATGATTATTATTCATCACAAACTGATTTAGTTATTAGGAAATATATTTTCGTTAATATATATAACTTGTGTAGTAAATTATATTTATTTAAAAATAGATTATTTTTCACTTTATGAACTATGAAGGCCACACTCAGTATTGGACGATAATATTCACAAAGTACGACTTTTATTGATAAAATTACTTTACTATTATGTTAAAAATACTCACAGATGAAAAGTCACATTGTCCTTTTGTATACTTTTTTTTCATGTAAATACACTGCAATTCGGCATTTTGTCGGAGCTCGATTTACTGGCACAATCACTTCGAAATGACGCACGACCCGGAGCAACTAGTTTTATATAACGAGTATGAGTTGGACTCTCGTACCTTTTACAGAGGGGTATGCCCTGCGATGCCGTCTCCTTTGGTTTAATACTCAAAGGACATGGATAATCACAAATGACACTATACAATTTTTAACGGAAATTAAAGAATACGAATAAGATGCTGGTGGTAACAATCCATTTCAAGACTTGGCAGAACTTGCTTTACATGTTTTGGTTTTACCCCACTCGAACGTTTACATCGAAATGATTTACATATGTAATGAATGTGAATGATGAACGTAATTAAATCAAAGTTACGAAACCGTACAAATCTTCATACATTCAATACGATTTTATGGATACCCACCTTTAAACTCATAAGTGGGAACACTTATTGTGACGGACGAGAAACTACGGAACCCTACACTGAGCGTGGCCCGACACGCTCTTGGCTGGTTTTTATATTTCAATTTATGGTAAGTAACGCAGCAATTCATTTAATAACAGTTTGATACTAAAAAATATTTGAAGCAATATAATCACCATATTGAACTTTTACAAATTCATCCATTTAAAATAAACAAAACGCGCGTTACGTCAGTTCGTTCTAAAAGAAACGTGACAATGGCAGCTAGAGATGCGTCACCTTTTTTGGGCCGGTACGCATGCACCGAATAAAAAATAAAGTTCTTATATAATATTGAAAATAAAGTTTTATCTTTTGAATAAGTACGTACTTATTCAGTGTCGTTATCACTCATAAAGTACTTCATAACAATAGATGATTTTTCTTCTACAGCGATCTTTTACGTAACTTTTTAATAATAGTTAATAAATATATATATTATATCAATCATTATAAAAAAAATCCAAAAAATCATTATAACTAAAGAAAGTACTACATATAAAATGTGCCTATATATTGAAGGTTTGTAATCCCTGGTTAAACAACCGAAAGATCATTGTCTATTTTTCTCAATCGATTTGGCACATACTATAGACAACGGTATCAGTGTATCGACACGTGTACAATTTCAAACACAAGTGTTGTAGTATGCGTGTATAGCACAGAATTAGTTGCGCAGGGAACGTCGTATGTCAATTTATGTTATAATAATGGTGAACTGCAGCATAATCAGTTGTAAAAACGCATCAAAGGCGTGTTACTCAACTAATAAAGGCATAAAATTTCATCAATAAGTTGATTATTTACTAATTATCATTGTTTTCTCTAATTTACATCTAGATGAATACTTTACTACGATATTCACCCTTGTAAACTTTCATTTATTACTTTTCGTATTGTACAATTACAATTGTTGCTTTTGTTCTACCGTAATACGCGACGCATGCGACGTTGACAAACTCGCCAAGCAATGTAATGTGAAATATTAGATATCATTGTGCATTGCGTACGTTTACAATACGGCTGCAGGCATCGGTTGCTTAATGTGTATGTGTTAAGATGTGGCGACATCGGTTTGGGAAGTAAACGAGCGCTAACTCATTTCTATTGTCTTATTATTACTATTTCTGTGGTGTATAGTGACGCGATTCAGTTTTGCATTGGTAGTGAAGTATACAGTACCTAGTGTGTTCTTGCCTCTCCCTGAAAGTGATACGACTTTAGGTATTAACGCGCATGAGTTGGTTGAATACTCAAAGGGTAAAGGAGAGAATCGTTTTTGGGTCCATTAGAAATTTCGACGACCCTCAATGGTATTACACAAAAAAAAGATACCAATTTATTACTATAAATAGCCTAAAGATTTTTTGAAAATCTAATCACGAAATTTAAAAAAAAGTTGTTTTGATATTCGTATCAATCTCAATCGTAGTATTAGTTATTTAAAAAAAAAGTTATGCCCAAACATACATAAAAATATATGGATGAATTGTGAATTCTTATCATCCTTTTTTGAATTGATTCGACAACTGTCAAACTGTGAACATTACGTAGTGATCGTCTCCGCATTTTTAATTAGTAACAATAGTACAAAAGTGACCGATCGGAAAAAAAGTGCACTAAAAATAGCAAACAAACAGTGTTGATGAATTCAAACTAATAATCATTTCATGGGAAGTGCTAAGTACAGTGAAATAACCATCGAAAATTTGCAAAATTATTTTGAAGCTATTAAATACCATAGACAAAAATTGGAAGTCCAACTACTGTCAAAACCCACAAAAGTTGCCACGTCAAGCCAAAATCTACCAATTTGGTAGAAAATCGGTACCAAGTATGGACGAACAAACAAAAATGCTGTTGGCCACTATAAAGAAAGAGATTGAAAAACAAAATGATAAACAAACCCAAACCATAACCGAGACTATCAGCAAAACAATTGAAGAGCAACTGTTACCAATAAAAAAGGAAAACGAAGCTATGAAGTCTGACATTTTGCTACTAAGATCGAAAGTAAATTATCTGGAACTTGAAACGAGGAAAAATAATGTCTTATTCTTACTGCACGGGGTTGAAGAAACTGAAAATAACAATCTAGAATTAATGAATACTTAATAGAACTATTCAACGTTCCCTGCACAACAGAACAAGCGGAGGAAGAGAAACACGACTGGGATAAATGGGAACTTAGCAGCATATACAGAGTTGGGAAAAAGACAGATGGCAAGATAAGACCTATAAAAATTTCATGTACAACATGGAGAAGAAACGAAATCTTGAAAAAGAAGAAAAAATTCTCAGAAGGAGTCTATGTAACAGAAGATCTGTCTAAAGAGGAACTGGAAGAAAGAAAGACTCTTATCCCAAAAATGAAGGAAGCCAGAGTATCTGGAAAGTATGCAATAATAAGGAATGGCAAACTAATTATACGAGACAAAATGGAACCTGAAAAAGAGGAAGAGAGCCCAATCCACCCCACCTTCTACTCCCCCAGACAACTTCAGCAAAGCCCCTGGAGAACCCAAGTTATACCAACCTGCTAAAATGTCGAGAATCAACCCAGCAGAAAGAATGAGAAGCCAATCAAATCCGAATACAGAGGAGACATCAAAAAACTAGAAATAGGCGGTAGTCGAAATAAAAACAGTAAAACAACGAATACCACCAAAACCAAATTAACATTCCCCAACCCGGCTGGACCCCGTGGGGAATTAGACCACCACCCACCAACCTACAAAAAACCAAACAAACATATACTACTAGACAAACATACACTAGAAAACAACAACATTAACAACAAAGAAAAATGTAATGCCCCCCCTTTAAAGATAGTATACAAATTGCAGCACTTAATGTTCTAACCCTAAAGTCGGACGAGAGTCTAACAGGTCTAAATAAAGCATTAAATGATATCAAATGGGACATTTGATATCATTTAATGCTTTACTTAGTAGAGACATCTGGGTCTGAGTGAAGTAAGACGAGTTGGAGAAAACATACAGGAATACGAGGACGATTGGTTTGAGACTTCAATCAAACTAGCAAAAAGTACCTGCACTAATAAAGGAAAAGAAAAGCTATTTATCAATAAAAACAAAAAATCTACTCGAAGCAAGGAAACAAGTAATCAGTTCCAGAGACATAGAGAATCGTAGAAAACGCATATCAGAGCTGAGTAAAGATATAAAACAGAGTATCAGAAGGGATAGAAAACAAAACAGAAGAAAAAAATAGAAGAGCAAATCATTAGAACAGGAGGAACAAAAAAAGCATATAAAGAACTGTCTGAATCAAAAGATTGGGTTACAAAAGTTAGAAATGAGAAAGGAATAGAACAAAATAGAAGATCAGACATAAAAGATATTGCTACATCATACTATAAACAATTATATGAGAAAACACAAGAAGAACTTGGCGAATTAATAGTACTAAACGATGATGAGGATGAGAGCATATCCTATATACTGCAACGAGAGGTAGAAGTAGCATTACAGTCCCAAAGTAAAGACAAAGCTTCAGGGCCAGATGGCATTGAAAATGAAATCATATTAATGGCAAAAAATGTCCTGTTACCAGTTATCACGAAACTATTTAATGAAATTTTCGCAAACGAAATTATCCCGATACAATGGACGCAATCTAATATAGTATTGTTATATAAAAAGGGTGATAAACTTAATATAGGTAATTATCGCCCGATCAGCCTTATGTCCAACTTATACAAAATATTTGCGAAAATACTGCTAAGAAGACTGGAAAGAAAATTAGACGACAACCAACCAGACGAGCAAGCAGGTTTTCGTAGAGGGTACTCAGTATTGGACCATATACATGTTATGAGGCAGATTATAGAAAAATCCCACGAATACAACCAATTATATTACATGGCATATAGACTACAGCAAGGCTTTCGACTATTTATTTCACAATAAGATATGGCAGGCCCTAAAAGAACAAGGTATCGAAAGCAAGTACATAAGGATACTGAGAGAGATATACAAGAAAAGTACAGCATGCATACAGTTAGAAAAGAAAGGAGAACCATTTAGCATACAAAAAGGTGTGCGACAGGGCGACCCGCTATCCCTAAAACTTTTTTCTGCAGTTTAGAAGACTAAATTGGGACGGATATGGAATCAGTCTCGATGGAACTTGGCTAACACATTTAAGATTTGCAGACGACATCGTTCTCTTTGCAAAAACCCCACATGAACTGAATGTCATGGCAAATGACCTGGCATTAGAAAGTCACACGGTGGGATTGAAAATGAACATGGAGAAAACGAAAGTAATGACCAACGGACCTAAGAATGAAAACATCAGGGTTGGCCAAAGTGAGATAGAATACGTTGATGAATACATCTATCTGGGCCAAATGATCTCACCCACAGACAACATGGAAAAAGAAATCAACAGGAGAGTAGCAAATGGATGGAAAAAATATTGGAGCATGAAGGAAATAGTGAAAGATAAAGAATTGCACATATCCATTGAATCTAAAGTGTTCAACACATGCATTCTTCCTGTATTGATGTACGGATGTCAACATGGGCTCTTACTAAGTTAAACAGTAAGAAATTAAACATATGCCAGCATTAGATGGAGCGAAGCATGATGGGAATCAGGAAAAAGGATCGAGTCAGGTTAGAAGACATTAGGAAAAACACAAAGGTTCAGGACATAGCAACAAAAATCAGGAAATTAAAGTCGAAATGGGCTGGGCATATGAGTAGAGGGAAGGAAAAGTGGAGCAGGAAGGTCACAGAATGGTACCCCAGGAATGGCATAAGAAAGAGGAGGAGACCCCGCCAAAGATGGAAGGACGACCTGGTTAATTTCGCGGGTGTGACTTGGAGCCGGGTTGCGAAGGATAGAAACGAGTTGAAAAGGTTGGAGGAGGCCTTTGCCGATTGGCAATCAGCAGAAGACAATCTAGATTTTTTATGACTTAGATATTAAGAAATTGTATTACGTACTGTTGAATAAATGGCTTTATTATTATCATCATCCTTTTTTGGGAGTTGGTTAAAAAAATTAACAAAATTGCCATACGCACTGTATATATAGGGCATTCAGCAAATAATATCGAAGGCATTAAGCAAACAGAATAATGGATAATTAAGTATTGCTTGTACGATACTTGTAAGATTGTACAACCAGTGCGTGTTGCCAGTGATGAATTACGGATCTGAGACATGGTCCTTCACTCCTGGCCGTATGAGGACGCTCAAGATCGCTCAGCGAGCTATGGAGAGGGCTATGCTCGGAGTTTCTCTGCGTGATAGACTCAGAAATGAGGATATCCGTAGTAAAACCAGAGTGACCGACATAGCCCAACAGATTAGTAAGCTGAAGTGGCAATGGGCCGGCCATATAGCTCCAAGAAACAATAACCGATGGGGAAGAAAGGTTCTCGAGTGGCAGCCTCGTACCGGTAGGCATAGTGTAGGGGGACCCCCCACTAGATGGAATGAGGACCTGGTAAGATATGCAGGAAGTCGATGGATGCAGGTGGCTCAGGACCATGCTTTGTGGCATTACTTGGGGGAGGCCTATGTTCAGCAGTGGACTTGTGAAGGGCTGTAATGATGATGATGATGAAGTATTGCTTAATGTAACTACATCTTTACAAAATAGTAAGTGGGTTTGAAGTAGAAACTTAACTTTTCGATGGAAAAAAAATGTTCTCCTATACATCGCCCTACATCAAAGTCTGCTCCAAAATGTAAGTGTAAACCAAAAATTATATAGTGAAATTAAATTTCTTAAAAGGTATGTGGACATGTTCCTTTACTTGTACTGTGAAAACAAGCTTCTTTCCAAACTTCGTGATTATTGGTTAATGAGAAGTATCTTTAGTTTTAACGAGTGAGTTTGCACGTATCACAATATGTGAGGTAAATGACCATATCTACTGACTGCAGTACGCAGAGTCTTGATAACTGGATGGAAAATAATGTGATCCTAAAATGTAACAGATTGTTCTTTTGACATAAGGAGCCTCAGGTCAGAGTATTCAGAGAATCTCATGTATAAACTGAGTATAATCAAAATTTGTGTTACATACTATGTAGCCCATAGTACATTATACTGATTAAATGAAACTAATCTTAAGGATTTTATAATGTTTAATTTAGGCTTTTTAATTCTTAACATTTCAGTTGCAGCACATATGTTCATGGAGGGGACTGAGGTGTTTGATGTCCAATGTCCAATGTTATAGTAAGCCTGACTGCCTTCAGTTTTTTAAAAATAAAATTTAACTTAATTTGTGACTGACAGCCTTAAAGACGATGAAGACCGAAATAAAATTGAAAGAGAATGTGGCATACTGTCGGTCAGGGCGAATATGTTGGTGTATAGATTTGGTTGCTGCACTGATGCCATCAAGATCATGCTTTTCAAAACGTATTGTGCGTCATTTTATTCTTGCAGTCTATGGACCAACTACACTAAAAAGGCTTATAGTGCCCTACATACTCAATACAACAAGGCATTCAGGGCGCTTTTGCGGCTGTCGCGCTACTGTAGCGCGTCTGCGATGTTTGCACTGGCGGGTGTGGATAGTTTTGATGCAATAATCCGAAAAAAAAGACCGCATCTTTGCTAAACAGAGTGCGCGGCAGCGGCCACAGTGTGTTGAGTGAGATTGCCGACAGTGGGGACTGTCCACTGATCAAAAATATGATCTCCAGGACCATGTCCTGCTTAATAATTAAATATTAAAAAAAATGTATAAATTATATTACTAACATAGATGTAAGTTTTTCCCTACTAACAATTCCTATGGATTTCAAGTTGTCCGAAATAAACAATTTTTTTTATTTATTTTTTACTTCAACTTGAATATTCATTTCATTTTAAAAGCAATAAAATCTATAATATTAGTTTTTTTAATATGCATGTAAATTTAAGAAATCATTATGTTATACTGACTCAAATTTTGATATTGTCAAGTGAGATTAAACTGAGGAAGTATTTCTGAATGCTGGCATTAAAAAAGCTATTATTGTAAATAAGGATTATTTGGGGCTACATTTTACTTGGTATTTTGTTTTGGTAAAATATGTCTAATAAATGGAGATTACTTATCCATAAGTATCTTAGCTATATCTGATTATAAAATAATAATAAAAATATGAATTTTCTAAATCTTATAATGATCATTCAAATCATTAGGTATTTTGGGTTGGCTATAGACATCTGATACGGGATTTTAATTATGTTTTCAAATTAGGAGGCTTGTCAGGCTTAAGCTTGAAACTTTTACACTGTTTTTGGATGTAGAAAATGCATTTTGAATTAATTATGATAAAAATAAATTTCACTAAAAATTGTATATAAGAAAACGCAAATATACCAATTATAGTTTTTTTAACATGCATACACCCATAAGAATTAAATCACTTAGACCCAGACAATTCATTGGCGGCTGAAGCTGGACTCATATACAACAAATTGAGTCACAGTGGAGAGCAGTAAAAAAGTTTTTCAGGAAACAAAATTATAATAATTGTTTCATTTATCACTATCATACCAGAAT